TGGGATCTTGTACCTTTACATGATGTATCTTGGTTCTTATTTTTTCCCCATTCCCCTGCCCTTCCTTCACCCCTTCTACCCTTCCCTGAAAGACTTTGTTTCCATTTTTTCCTTTTCTCTTCTTTCCTTTCCCCTACCCCTACCACTTCCCTACCCCTTTAGACCTTTTCTTCCCATTTCATATTATCAATTATACATTTTGATCCTTATTTACACTTCTCATTTTTCACACCAGAGAAACTATTCAGTATTTACACATGTGTGTCCTATCTATTTCATTTAAGAGTATGGTCTCAGTATGCACCCATTTAGCTATAAATGTCTGTAGTTTCTCATTCTTTACTGCTGAGTGGTACTCCATTTTATATATATATAAAAAAAAAAACAACATGTCTTCTTTATCCAGTTTCTAGTTGATGGGCAATTGGGCTGTTTTCAAGTTTTAGCTATTACAAACTATGCCGCTATAAACTTGGGTGTGCACATATCACTGTGGTATGATTTTTAAAATTCTTTTGGGAAGATACCCAGCAGAAGCATAGCTGGGTCAAATGGGACCTCTAATCCTAGTTTTTTGAGGTATCTCCATATTGATTTCCACGATGGTTGCACCAGTCTTCACCCCCACCAACAATGAATAAGGGTTCCTTTTTTCCCACAACCCCACTAGCATTTGTTATTGGTTGATTTTTTTTTTTTTATAGCAGCCATTCTTTCTGGGGTGAGGTGGAATCTCAGTGTTGTTTTCATTTGCATCTCTCAAATGACCAGTGATGTTGAACATTATCATTTTTAAGTTAATTAAATTTATTGATATATTTTAGGTATACATAATGCTCACATTCATCAGGGAATTTGTACCTGTACATGATATATATTGGTCTATTGTCACTCTTACACCTTGGTTTTAATAGAAAAGGATTCAATAATTCTTTGCAAATGGATTACTATGTTTCATTTTGGAGAATTCTCATTATCTGTCCTGACTTTATCAACTAAAATTTTCTTCTTTTAAATGTATTTATTATGTTTAGAAAGGTAGTAGATAAAAAATTTTAATTTATCTATAACTTGAGAATGTATACGTTTTTCCCAAAATCAGTTTTATAGTAGAGGGCATTCTGTGTTCTAAAACAAAATCTATATTTTCTGTATCTAGACAAACTATATTCTCTGAGATTTTGTAACTTTTCTACTTGAATATAAAATTCTGAATCCTCAGAGATAAAATGAGTTGCAGTATTCAAAGGCTATGATTATGGATTTATGACAAGTTTCCTATTGTCTCCCTATTGCTTGGTGGCCATTAAGAACTAGAAGGATTTAATGCTCTAATTTTCTTCCCAGAGTACATATTTCATAGCAAAGAAAAATCTGTCTCCATTCGCATATGAATCTAAGTGAAACTCTTCCTTATGAGTTCTTATGGATCTCTGAATAGTAATAAATAAAAGAAATCAATTTTAAAATCTACTAGTTTAAAATACCCTTCTCTAGCCTCTTCTGCTACTTGGGACAAAAATATATTAAAATAGTGTGGGGTTCTGGTTGTCTCTAGATTATGAAACTTTCTTTAGACCTCCATATTTTTCAAGTTTTCTCTAAAACAATTACTTAATAGAAGATTAAATTAAAAAGGGAAAAGCATAAAATATCCTCCTCTAAACTAACTTTTTATTTCAGTAGAAGGAGTTAAAATTTAATTAAGAAAAGTTGACAGTGTTTGGTATGGATTATTTATAGATACTCCATGTATAAATAGATACTCCATGTATAAAGAAGTCTTTGCAGACTTCTTTATAGCTATAGAAATCCATGGTGTCATAATTAATTGATTTCAACAGACATATTTCCCATATTTGAAAATCACCACTCACTTTCCACTTTTCTTTTTCTTTTTTTTGGTACCGGGGATCAAACTCGTGTCCTTGCACTTGCACAGCAGGCGGCAAAACCACTAAGCTAAATCCCTGGCCCCCCACTTTTCTATTTAGGCTAAGTAATCACAAGTTCTTGTTTGATATATTAGAATGGAAATCCTGTCACCATTTATTAATAGGAATTCTTCTCTGGACTCCATTTGCAATTTTTAATCTCATTTAAAAAAGAGAACACAAATTGATACTTATTTTGTATAGCCTTTAAAAAATAGACAATTGATGAATAAATCAATAATCACATGAATTTACAGTAATTAGCAATATTGAGGCTGGGACTGTAGATTGCAGTAGAGCACTTAACACGTGTGAGGCCCTGGGTTCAAATGTCATCACTGTAAAAAACAAAGGACCACTTATCAGTTTCATAAATTGACTTTAAGCTAAATAAATATCACTGTGCACTCTTTTAATTCACAAACACATGCTTTTTCAACAACCAGTTGAATCACTTTAATATCCTTTTCACCAACATGTTTATGTATCACAGAATTAATAAGCAGTAATGAGGATATATTCTATTCTTTTTTGAAAATTGAAATAGATTCTTTACCTGGGACTGAAGAAGAACTGATGGAAGAGGTTGAGGATTTTGAGAAAGCATCTAAATTAACAGCACCTGTAAGTATACTCATTTATTTATTTTTAAATTTCTAAAATAATGTATATCACTATTGGGAAAATCTAGAAGGAATAGAAAGCAACATTCTTTAAATTAAAGAATATTTTAAAATGTGCATACAATATCTTCTCTATAGTTATAGATTGCTTGTATCAGTAGATGACTCACTGTATTACAAATATGTCATAAGGCTGTATTAGGCTCTGTCTGCAATTGCAGAAGGCTTAATTGAGATAGGGAAAGTTAACTTCTGGTATGATTAGCTCCTTACTTGTCCATATGAACATTTTAAAAGTTTATTAGTATCTTAAACCTCTCTATAATATAATTAATATAATATAATATAAAATATATATGTAAGACATCATGAGGTTAGTACAAGCTTCCTTTAGCCTCTCCAGTTACAAGAGGTGCTCAAAGTGGTGGCCATTAGCTTCCAGACATTGATTGGTATGGTGAGCTGCTGCTTGGGTAACCTTGGTCATTGAGATGGCTGCACATGCAATTTCAATTTCTTCACTAAGAACCGGCAGTGTAGGGGGTTTTCTGTGACATACGACATCCTCTAGGGTCCCCCATAGAAGGGTAACACCATCTGTTGAAAAAATATCATACTATTTTTCTTTTCCCAAAGTGTGTACACATTTTTTGGTAGACTCTCTGTATATTACATATGTTTTGCTTGTCCTAAAAATTTACATAGTACTTACACATACTCTTTTTTTGAGTTGTGTAGTCCATTAGATTTATGATTTTAATGAAATTAAAAGTTAAAGAATACAGAAAAACTGACACATCTATATAAATTCTAAATGCAATGTCTATTAAAGATTCTGAGTGTTCTAAAACTTATGCTAATGCAATATTACATTTCCTTAAGTATAATATTTAAACTGTATTCATATAGTACTTCCATATTCTCTGTGGTAGTTTGCTTGGGCTGCCATAACAAAGTCATAAACAACAGCAATACGTTTCTCACAATTATAGATGCGGATGTATTGGCAAGGTTGATTTCTTCAGAGACTTCTTTCCTGGCCTTGCAGGTGGCTGTCCTCTCTCTGTGTCTCCACAGCTTCTTGCGTATATAAGTGCCTGTCTGTTAATCTCTTTATAATCAGAGATTCATCTCGCATTATCACCGGTGATGCTTTATTTAGGCCCACTCTAATAATCTTATTTAATGTATTACCTTTGTAATGACCCTATCTTCAAACATATTCTGAAATACTGGAGATGGAACCTTACCACATGAATTTTAGTTGTATGGAATTCAGGTCATACCATTTGGTGAAGTTACATTATTTGAAACATGGTTTGAGTTGAAGGATTTTGTTAAGGATACCTATTTTCTATTGGACTTCATAGTAAGATTGAGTCTAAAAATTACTGATGAAATTAGTGTATCTTTCCTCATCTGTCACTTTCTCATTGTAGCTTCCCTTCATTTTTGCTCATAATACTTGACAGCTCTGGTATGCTGTATAATTTACTAATTTGTTATATGTATTGCCTGGCTCCTTCTATTATAATATAAGATCTATGAGGACAAGAATTTTTGTCCATTGTTTTTTATTTAGAAGTACATCCTTAGAAGTGTACCTATACATAGTAGTCCCATTATACCTGTGTGTCAAATGAATGACATAGCTTAGCAATAATTCCTAATCATTAAATGAAAAATATTATATTTTACCTTATTATAAACTGGTGGAACCTTAGAAATAGGACCGTGGTGACCATGTAGTTCAGCAACTCTCCTCCCTACTTTAGAATTCCAAGTTATCGTCGCACTTCCATCTAGTGCAAGGAGATCCCTTTCATAGGGAAGAAAACAGCTCAAAGAAGCTCAGCAACTAGACCAAAGTTTCAAAGCTAAAGGAGCAATGAGGTCAGAAATTGACCACTGATAAATTTTCTTTCTGTGGCATATCCTGAATATTTCTTTATTTTTCCCCTTAAGGAAAACTTTCCCACAGTATATTCCCATGTAATAGATATTTTCTTTTTTTCCTGGCAGCTGCTTGTAGCCATTGATCCTAGTTCTGCTCCTGGAGTGATAGCTTAAATCTGATCCCTTTCACTTAACTCATCTTCAGATATTAGAAGTTATCAACATGTCCCATCTAAGACTTAAATTTTTCAGTCAGCACCCAATCCATTCCTTCAACCAATTATTATATTGTGTAGTTTTCAAGTATTTTAGTACCTCTGGTACTTTCTCTGAATATATTCTTGTCTGCCAAGTCCCTTGTAAAATATGAATTATGCCACAGCCAAATCTACTGTTCCAAATAAAGTTTCCACATGAGAGAGTACAAGTGAATATGTGCTTGGGACAAATATTATTTTTGGATTATAATCTAAGGTTACATTAACTTTTTTGAAGGAACATGCTGGCATTTATAAACTTCAGTATGTGTCCATAATCTTTTGGTGATAAATACACTTTGTCATTCAGGCTGTGATGACCTGCCATTCATCACAGTTTGCAAAGGTTTGTTTTATCAGCTGTGAATTCCACAAAAGCTCACGTTTCTTTCTCATGTCTAAAAGATACTAGTAGATGTTTTCTAATCATTTACTCACATCATGATATATCCTGCCCATAGTAACTGGTTTGCTTAATAATATCTAATAATCCAAAGGGGGAAGAGGGTTACTTTTACTTAATCAAATTTTTTGTGAATGATTTCAAATTGGCTCTTAAATATTTTGCTTTCTTTCCACAATGCTCACATAATGTTTTCCAAGCGTAAAACTTTTTTGTAGGCCAATTTTGTTTGTTTTCACTTATCATTTATCGAAGTATGAATTCTTTTCTTTGGTACTGGGGATCGAACTCGGGTCCTTGCGCTTGCGTAGCAGGTGGTGAAACCACTGAGCTAAATCCCCGGCCCAAGTTTGAATTCTTAAAAATTCTTTAATTCCATTTAATGTCAAATTATCCATTTAAACTCTTTGGCAATAAGTGGTTAAAAATAACACAGATCAACAAATTATTTCAGGTCTCTCAAACATGGTGATTTCTAGATGTCAGATGCTTTCATTATGAGGAAAACAGATTTTTAAAAAGTTAATTATTTTAGAATAATTAAATTTTAGACTCCCTAAATATTCCTTTAAAATGTTTCTGTAATAATTTTGAGATAGCATTTTTAGTAAATCAAAAGGGCAAATGTCACTTTAAGTATTATTGGAGAATTGGAGCAAAAAAGAATTTTTTATTACAGTAAGAAACAAAATATTTCAAAGCAAATTTTGAGTCATATCCTGCAAGAATATAAACATGCCTCCAATATTGAAAGCGATTTAAGGAAGTTTCAACACATGCTGACTCTTATTTGCTGACATTCCCTGCTGGGTATTGTGCATTAATATGTGGGTACCAGACTTTTGGAAACTATTTTTCCTTTTGGCTTAATCTACACTTGGAATACTTCTTAAATATTTTGTGACTGTTGCAGTGAGGTAAAGGCGATGTTTAGATTTAGATTTTTACCTTTTCCCAAATAAGCAAGTTATTCTATAATTTCTCTCTCCTCCCCTCCCCCTCTTTTTACATTCTGATTTCTCTTAACATGCATACAGCCTATGCATATTAAAGCTGGATTTGTCAGGGAAATCCATTTACTTAAAATGAATCAACAAAAATAAAATAATGAGAAAAAAATACCAGAAGTAGGTATTGATCATGACTGTCTCATAAATATAATGACCATTGTTTTATATTGATGATTGATGATTTACTATAAATAAATTTTTGAATTCCACAATTCCAATGGCTTTCTTAATCTTAAATTCAATTTCATTTTAAAGGTATTGAGTAAACATAGATATAAAGGAAAGATGAAAAGATAATTAGAAAAAGCATTTGACTTTCAAATCTTAATGACTTTTTTTTTCCTTTGTAAGTTATGTGTTCATTTATTCTTTGACCAGTACTGACCAGTTTTTCATACTGTGTAAGATTTAAGTATCAGGTCATATTTCTTACTGAAATTATAAGAAAAACTATGAGAAGGGCCCTGTAGGAAAAATTTCTTAAAATTTCTTAAAATTTAATAAAAGTTTCATTTCCCTCAGAAGACTTATATATTTGGGGAGATATGTAAAATTAACTAGAATGATGATAGTAGTTAATGATATCACTTATTTCATACCACATTTAAATTATTAAGAAATTTATATGCTTTAATATCAATGGTCTCCGAATCTCTGCAGTTCCATGACTTATCACTTTATCCTTGACAACCCTACTATGAAGTAAGTAGTTAGTTTCTACTAAGCATATTAAGATTGTAAGATCTTGTGATTTGTCCCTGTTCAGATAGAGGTCAGAACAAAACCCATATTTCCTAGGCTCCAAATGCTCTTTCATTGAACTTTTCAGGATCCATAGAATTATTTCACCTTTAGGTATTGTCATTGTTTAAAAGTCCATACAATATGAAAGAGGTAAGAAGCCATAACTAGTAGCCAATATCAAAGATAGAATTACTCACTAGATTAATAAGATAGTTTAAAAAACAAATTTGATGGACTGGATTATGAGAGGTAGATTTTTATGAGGGACAGGACCAGTAAATTTGCAATATTAGAGAATAGTTTTTCTTGGGTGGTTCACTTGGGGAGGTCTGAGAAAACAGGGCAGCATGACAAGAAGTGATTCTGAATTTGGGGAAGTACTGAGGAGAAAAGCAAAAAAGAATATGCTACCTGTCTAACACATGTTTCCTGTGGCAAACTTGGTACAAAAATTAAACACCTTAGTGATTCTAGAATTAGCTTGATAAAGTATTGTCTTAGCTACTTTCTTGTTGGTGGGACACAATACCCAACACTCACAATTTAAAGGAAGAAAGGTTCATTTTTAGCTCACAGTTTGTAGGCGTTCAGTGCACAGTTGGCTGACTCCAAGGCAGGGCAGCATGGCAGAAGAGCATGGCAGAGGAGGGTTACTTATAGCATGATGGTGGGAAACAGAGAGTGATCAAGG